GGACATATTTATTCCGTATATTCAAGAAAGATTACCTGCCGGCTTCGTTCTGCCTGCAGTGTGTAGACGCCGGTTATGAAACCTGATGAAAATTTAAGGGATCCGTGCTGCTCATGTACGCCAGGCTATAGCGGGCTAGTCTTCACCGTCAATTGAAAGTTACAGTTGTGCGCAATCACAGGATCTGAAAATACTCTACAGACGATCGATGCAATTTGATCGTTACACACCGACTAACGGTATCAGAATGGCGCGACAGATCCTGTTATCATGTCGGATATGCATGCATAGCTTGCCTAACTAGCTGAATCCGAACAGCTCGTTCAAGAGAATCAGTAGGCGACGGTCGTCAATGACTGATGTTTCGCCCGTGCTGTAGCTTAAGAGCACAACGGTGTGATTCACTAATCAGACCCTGGCCACTATTGTGTTGTGATGTCACAAAACCAAAAACTTGTGAAGCTAGCACCGCAAACTGAGCACAATCTTCGTGCAATCGGTTTTATCTATGTGTGAAGTTGGAGGGCATTAGCTGCATTCGTTTGCAAATTTGCTTGTATTAAGACACATGTTCTGCAGTCAATGCTAAGACTAAGCCGTTGGAAATCAGCATGCATGATTCTGCGAATAAGGTCAAGTCAAGGGGACGAGAAAGAGGAGGAACCAGGGAAAAAAGGAGATGGGAATAAACAATACTCCAAAATCAGGGATGAATGAGGATTTCGTCACTTACACCAACTGTTCCAATTGAGTGTCTACCTATGTCGAAATTAACGGAGTTCGGTATACAGAATATCAGCCATATCGGACTTCCATCGTATGAAGCTTCAATCGTTTACGGTATCCTCCACTAGGAACACAACTGCATCAAAATCTCACCATTGATCGCTGTGGGTGACAAGATTCAACTCGCGACGTACTTTGTACCGGGTCACTTTTCACACAAGATGACCGCTGTAAAGTAAATAACTATAAAAGGGCCCCACAGAAAAGACCGACAGTGATTTTTTGACGCAGGGAAAATTAAAATGGTGAACACCGCTCAAGACATGCAGAGCCTACTGTTGGGAACTTCAACAGGGTATGTGAAAGTTGCTGGTGGACAAAAAACACTGAGTAGTTTACTTCAGTTTAGCATGTTATTAATCACGGAAACGAGTTGTGATTTGAAACAAACCCAATCGAATCGAAGCATGATTAGTGTTCACCAGGTAATGCGGCTACACATTATTTTGCCACGCTACCCTCGTCTGCTAGCAAATGGGACTCGTTGTAAACTCGTGGTTGTAAACCGCGGGACTAGGGTTTGAAAGAACAATGACGGCGATTAGTTTCCTGAAGATTCCAGAATACTGGGTCTGAGTTCATTTCCCCTCGTGCTTGGAGCACACAACATTCACTTCACTCACGTTGTAGCAGAAAAGTTAGTCAATCTATATTCATATTCAAATGGCCCCTTCGAGTCAGAAAAATTCACACATTAGAATAGTCCTAGACGGACTATCAGAGCTAGATCATTTAAGAAACGTGGCTCACAATCTCACGTAGATAACCAGTGAATGTCAGCGAGAAACGTCTGCGGGCATGATGCAGTGTTTTGCCACGACATTTCTGCCTCACAAGACCTTGCGCACAGTTCGCTTATTGGTGTTGGCATGCTCTTAATTCATGAGAAGACTTTAGTCAAAAACATGAGAAATCCGGAGAACATCCATATGTGCCGTAGCATTTGTTGATTAGTCTGTTTGTGTGGGCGAGATGGCCCAAGTGGTTAGAGCACGAATTGACTGACCGGAAGGTCCGTGGTTCGAACCCGACCTCCGCCTCTCGACTATCCCCATCTAGGCTCGAGCAACTTGACAGTATCCCAGCCCTCGTGCTTCCTTCGGGTGGCACAACAGTTAGGCACCGGAAGGGTGATCGGACGTTATAATTATCAGTTGTAAAAACTGCGTACTCGTAGGGGTTACATCTGTTACAGTTTCTCTCGTCCTGGAGAAGCAATTCACCATGAGGTCTTTCCTGTTTGGTATTAATAGGGAAGGCGGTGATCGTCAATATTCCGGTTCCAAGTTCACAACGCCATGTATCGTTTAAAGCCTACAGTCTGGTAACCATGAGATTCTCTATGATCCTGGATTGTATGGAACAAAGCTGATTATGCAAAAACGGTCAGACTCTCAACACACTTCGGTGCACGTGTTGAACACGACGAAACTACTTGAGGAGATCGCTTCGTACCAGAGTGTCAAATGGTACAGTTTCCTGTTTGCGTATAAAAAAGATCAGAATCACCGCTAACCTAAGGGATCCTGATGTGATAGATTGAGACACCTGGAAGTTGAGCACTTGTTTCATCAGTATTCGATAAGCTTGGTTAAAATAAGTGACATTACCAAAACATCAACTGTGGTAGGGGATAGCTATATTCAGGGCTCAACGTGATGCAGAACTGACGAAGCCGTTTTGTACCAGTAATTTTAACGATTTAGGTTTCTTCTCATCGGCGGTGACAAGTCCCATTAGAAAGAAAGCCAAAGAGCGAAAGATAGGTAAATTTTGACGAATCAGATATGCAGTTTTCTGGAGGGATGATAAACCAGTTGCTTTGAATAAAAAATTAAGGTTACTTTGAGTTTGTAACAATAAAAGGATAAAAGGATAGTTTTACTTCTATTTTTGTGGCCTGACAGCATAAAAAATAAACATCAGTGACATACTGTTCCAATACTGTAGAATTGTACGTTTCCTAGTCAATCCCTGCTTCATTGGAACATCATTTCCTAGTTGGTCTTCTTCCATATTTGGTCACCTAAAATACAAAAATTTGAGAAACATTATCGTTCTTGCAGCTTGTACGATAAACCTCTTGTGTTGATCCGCCGCCTAGACGGACTATCAGAGCTAGATCATTTAAGAAACGTGGCTCACAATCTCACGTAGATAACCAGTGAATGTCAGCGAGAAACGTCTGCGGGCATGATGCAGTGTTTTGCCACGACATTTCTGCCTCACAAGACCTTGCGCACAGTTCGCTTATTGGTGTTGGCATGCTCTTAATTCATGAGAAGACTTTAGTCAAAAACATGAGAAATCCGGAGAACATCCATATGTGCCGTAGCATTTGTTGATTAGTCTGTTTGTGTGGGCGAGATGGCCCAAGTGGTTAGAGCACGAATTGACTGACCGGAAGGTCCGTGGTTCGAACCCGACCTCCGCCTCTCGACTATCCCCATCTAGGCTCGAGCAACCTGACAGTATCCCAGCCCTCGTGCTTCCTTCGGGTGGCACAACAGTTAGGCACCGGAAGGGTGAACGGACGTTATAATTATCAGTTGTAAAAACCGCGTACTCGTAGGGGTTACATCTGCTACAGTTTCTCTCGTCCTGGAGAAGCAATTCACCATGAGGTCTTTCCTGGTTGGTATTAATAGGGAAGGCGGTGATCGTCAATATTCCGGTTCCAAGTTCACAACGCCATGTATCGTTTAAAGCCTACAGTCTGGTAACCATGAGATTCTCTATGATCCTGGATTGTATGGAACAAAGCTGATTATGCAAAAACGGTCAGACTCTCAACACACTTCGGTGCACGTGTTGAACACGACGAAACTACTTGAGGAGATCGCTTCGTACCAGAGTGTCAAATGGTACAGTTTCCTGTTTGCGTATAAAAAAGATCAGAATCACCGCTAACCTAAGGGATCCTGATGTGATAGATTGAGACACCTGGAAGTTGAGCGCTTGTTTCATCAGTATTCGATAAGCTTGGTTAAAATAAGTGACATTACCAAAACATCAACTGTGGTAGGGGATAGCTATATTCAGGGCTCAACGTGATGCAGAACTGACGAAACCGTTTTGTGCCAGTAATTTTAACGATTTAGGTTTCTTCTCATCGGCGGTGACAAGTCCCATTAGAAAGAAAGCCAAAGAGCGAAAGATAGGTAAATTTTGACGAATCAGATATGCAGTTTTCTGGAGGGATGATAAACCAGTTGCTTTGAATGAAAAATTAAGGTTACTTTGAGTTTGTAACAATAAAAGGATAAAAGGATAGTTTTACTTCCATTTTTGTGGCCTGACAGCATAAAAAATAAACATCAGTGACATACTGTTCCAATACTGTAGAATTGTACGTTTCCTAGTCAATCCCTGCTTCATTGGAACATCATTTCCTAGTTGGTCTTCTTCCATATTTGGTCACCTAAAATACAAAAATTTGAGAAACATTATC